GCCGCTGGGGGGGAGGAGGGAGAGAATGTGGGAGTGAAGTTGAGCCCAGGAAGAAGGGAGGGGTGGGGGAAGGTTGTTTAAGATTTGATTTTATTTCTCATTGCTCTACTCTTATTACCAATCAAATAAATTAAATTATTTTTCCCAAGTTGAGTCTGTTTTGCCCATGATGGTAACTGGTGAGTCATCCCTCCCTGTCCTTATCTCAACCCATGTTACATTTTCTCTCCCCCATCCAGCTGAGGGTGGATAGTGACAGACTGGCTTTGGTGGGCAGCTGGCCTCCAGACAGGGTCAACCCACCACACTCAGCTCTTCCATCCAATAGTAAAACAAATCCAAACAATAATTAAAGACAAGACTTATCCTGTATACTAGAGAAACTTCAGAATATTATCAGATCTGTTGCTCCAAAATAATAAATTACAGCAAATCTTAGTGTGTACTGTAGGCTACTCAGGAACGACTGTGTTTATCAGCATGCAATTACACAGAATAAAATAGCTTCTGAGGGCAGTATGTAATCATTTCCTATGCCTTGCAGGTACAGACAAACACACATACTGGTGACATGGGTTGATTTACTGAGTTATTGCAAAATACAATTATTTGCAATCAATACAGAGCAAGTCTATTCAAAAACTATTAAATACATGGTAACATCTGTGTCCTCTTGTGGTAACAAAGTAAAAAATATTAAAGTTTTAACAGCTGGAACATCAAGTGATGATCTTCACAGAAGAGTAACAAAAGCACTGGTTGAAATCACACTCCAAATATTTAATTCAATGCAGCGTATGATCTATGCAGCAACTTTAATACTGGAATCCGGTACTCAAGGCTAGCTCTGGTTCACTGAAAACCTGCATTTTAAAACTTTCCAATTTTATTTAATCCACTACTAAAAGTTCTTGCCACTACCCTCTGCTAACACCATGCTGCCCCAAATTAGCCTCCCTTCAATGACTGGCACCATTGATGGACAGCCTCTGGAGGGCCAATTCAGGTCTCTCCATAGCAGCAGGGGAGACCACTAGAGGACAGAGAAAGGAAAGAACATCAGAAGCAGGAAAGTAGAATGAGAGGCTGTGACAGAACAAGTAGTTAAAGACAGGACAGCGCATCCATGACTGTTACAAAATACTCTTCAAGCAGCAGGATTCATACATGGATGCTTGTTGCTAAACAGCTCAGTGATTTGTCACTGTAGGTGTTACACACACACAGAATTCAGCAATAGCGCAGTAAATGATAAAATTGGGATCACTAATTTTACAGCAGTGATCAAAAGCACCTTCCAATGCCTGACAGTGCAAAGCTCACGCCCAAAGACGATGGGGCTGAAAATACAGTTGTCAAATCAGCAGAGGACTTGTGAGAACGCATGTGAATTCCAGCCAGAACTGCTGACAGAGGACACAAAGTGCCATTTTCCAACTAGCACTTGAATAGTTCTCTTAAGTTTCCCCTCTCCCTAGTCATCCCTCTTTTAAAGCAGTAAAAAAAAAAAAAAAAAAAAAATCAAAACCAAAACAACCCAAACAAACACAAAAAATGAAGTAAAAAGACTTCATAGGAAATATTTTTAAAGGTGTTGTCAAACAACATTTCTTCAAGGCCCAGGCTAGGCTGCTGTAATAGCATACAGAAGTCAGCTTCCAACATTGCCTTTCCAATATTTTTAGGGTGCAATTCAGCAGTGTGAGCACCAGGTCTGCATTTACAAAATGTGTGCTTGTCCCCACAGGCAAGTAGATATTGTACTTCAGCATCCGCTTACACATGTAAGCTTTGTATACATAGTTGGTGTGTATACACCTTGCAAGTACAAAACAGGCCCTTACCTTTGAAAACCACAGTATTTAAAATATCTAAGCCATTAGACTTCCAACCTCTTGCTTTGGTATTGAATCGATAGAAAATTTACAATGCCATTCTTCAGTCTTACACAGACTGAGTTATTAACCAAGAAAATAAAAAAGTAACAAGTCCGAGTATCCAAAGAAATCTACAAATACATTCATCAACATGTAGTACGTTACGAATAAGGAGACAATACATGAAATTGCTATAGTATGAATGAAAACCAAGTAGTTGTAGGAAAGCCTGAAAGTCGTCTTAACATTTTTTCTCATGTAACATTTAATGTCACTGTAGCAATGATGATATAGCAGCTTCTACTATGTTACTTCCCAAGTTGTAGGTCTTATGTTTGATTGAAAAGAGAGGTGGGAAATGAAGGCCCTCTGAGGAGTTCAGCAGCAACACTTAAGTGCATTGAAAACACTGATAATCTGTGGCACATAGGAATTAATGGCTTACACAGGATACTTTTTTTCTATTTACAGTATCATACACTTGTATAAAGTCTCTGCTGCATTTTTTTTAGTACTTAGTCTGTGGCAAATCACAGTAACGTTATCCATAGAAAAAGGAAATCCTGTTTTCTTCTGAAGACTAAGTGACTAACGGGTATTATTTATACTTGCTTGAGCTACCTACCTCTCTGAACCTCACGAATCCCAAAATCTAATTGGCATAAAAACATTTTGATAACTTAATACAGGAACTGATTGCTCTTGATTGTTTACCTCTTGACTTAATCATTATGTTCACTGCTGGAGAATGATCCACTTTGCTAGATGTCAGAATTAATACAAAAAACCCCTAACAACACACAAAAAAACCACCAAACCTCCAAGAAAGAGTGACTTTGCTGTTGTGTATCTGACTGCATGACAGGAAATACCAAAGCAACGGGGTATATCACAGTAATATCATGCTACCTCTCAGACACCAAAGACTACAGCAAGTCTTCACAAATAATTATGTTTCTGGAAGTAGTAAGCAACTCAACTTCAGCAAAAAACTGCCTTATCACCAGGCTTCATAGGGCATCAGAGCCTTCAAAGCAGTTTCTAATATCAGTCTGAAGGCACCGGGATTTCTGGTTCCAGCTGAGGCAGAGGCAAATTAGAGGGGAACGGGAAGAAACATTGTGCACGTGACACAGCTGAAAAAATTACATGTTTGCACTTGAAGATGCAAAACACACTGCAGTAAAGGCAAAAAACCAACTAAACAACATGACATCTGTTTCCAAGGGCAGAAGGCACAGCCCTCTACTTTGCAACAGGTTTTTATAGAAGTATTTTAAAAACTTAGAAGAAATTGAATGGGTAACAATTAATCAAGCAGGAGAATGCAGAACAAGAAAACCATGTTTAAAGGTCAATTTCACACCCTTTACAAGAAACCTGGACCCATTTCTTTGCTGGTAAAACCCTGTCACCAGGTCTAAAGAGCCTTTACATAAAAGCAAACAGCTGGATACGAGTTAAATTAAATATTTACTAACTGTTGTATAGAAAAGTTTAGTTGTGAGACTAAGGGCAGAGTTGCTTTTAGTCAAAGGATTGCATACTTTCAGAAAACAACAAAAACACAGTAAACCAAACCAAAACAAAAAAATTCAACCAGCATGCCAACTGATTATCAGTTTACTAACTTTTGTGTTTAAGTCCTCAACTAAGATATTAAAAATGCACTTCCAGCACCTGAACACAAACCAGGGTGTACCTGCTAGGACAATTTTTTTCTTTCCAGCATACTCTTCATTAGCTTTTGGTGCCACATGCTGAAGAACCTAGATTTAAATCAGTGAATGACAAGTGTCAGCAGGCAATGGATTTGCACTACACTGGTGGCTCCATCTTGATCATCCTTTCATTCAACACCTCCTTTTTTAACTTTTAAATTTAAAAATCAATCTTCCATTTGGAAATTCAGAGCCAGGTCTGATTTTCTTTGTCACCTCTGGTCACACTGTAGGATATCTGCAGAGACCACTCTTATTTCTTGCCGATTCCATTCGTTACTTTCGATTTGGAGTGTCGATTCCTCCTCCTAGATGAATGGCTTTCACTATTGACTGAATGTTTTGGTGGACTACTGTCAGCACCTGCTGAGAAACAAATATTTTTTTATTTTATATATGTATTTGACATTGTCAAGCTCTTGTCTAAAAGACAGTAAGGCTTTCTAGAGCTACAATGTTTACAGTATGGATTATTTCAGGCTAATACAAACTGGTCAATACTCATACTCCATCTAGTGGCCTATTTGCTTTTTTTTAAAAAGTGGAGTTCTTAAGACTTCTGTAAAATTCTTCCTCCTCCAAAAATTCAGAAGTTTGCTATAGCAGAATATAGTGGTGAAACATCGTCCTTTTTAAATGACATCAATAATTAAACTTCCACATTTTTATTACTGGTATGTACTACTATAAGAAATTAAGAACTATGGAAGCGAGGTCACAGATCCTTGTAAAAGCACATTTCTTGTTTTCAGTCTTTCTTATGACAGACCATGTTTGACACTGAGAAAGCAGAGGAAGACAATGGGAACTGAAACAAGAATTCAAGAGCAAAACATGAAAGAGGATGAAGTTTATAATTAATGAAGTAACAGAAAGTTAGAGAAAGATTTGCTTGGCTAGATTTCTCCAGCATGTATAAATGGGAAAAACATTTTGAGTGCAAGCAATTTTTCTCCAAAATATAAAATCCATAAATTTACTAAACTGAGAATAAATTAATATTGGCATTGTCGTGGGTTTACCCCAGCCGGCAGCTGAGCACCACGCAGCTGCTCGTTCACTCCCCCCGCATCGGGATGAGGGAGAGAATTGGAAAAGTTAAAGTGAGAAAACTCGTGGGTTGAGATAAAGACAGTTGAATAGGTAAAGCAAAAGCTGCGCGCACAAGCCAAGCAAAGCAAGGAATTCATTCACCACTTCCCATGGGCAGGCAGGTGTTCAGCCATCTCCAGGAAAGCAGGGCTCTGTCACACATAATGGTTACTTGGGAAGACAAAAGCCATCGCTCCAAATGCTGCCGCCCCCCCCTTCCCCCAAGCTCCTTATAAGCTGGGCATGATGTCATATAGTATGGAATATCCCTTTGGTCAGTTTGGGTCACCTGTCCTGTCTGTGGCTCCTCCCAACTTCTTGTGCACCCCCAGCCATCCCGCTGGCAGGGCAGTGCAAGAAGCAGAACAGGCCTTGGCCCCGTGTAAACACTGCTCAACAATAACTCCATAGAACAAAAACATCTCTATATTATCAATGCTGTCTCCAGCACAAATCCAAAACATATCCCCACACTAGCTACTATAAAGAAAATCAATCCTCTCAGCTGAAACCAGGACAGGCATCCAGAAAAATAATCTATGAAATATAAAGAAGCTCTGCCATAGGTGCTTTTCAAGCACATACCAAGTAAGAAATATTTTTAATGATACAAACATCTGGAGCATAAACTCTCACAGATATAACTTCCAGGTGTGAATCTTGGTATTTGTTCCAGAAGCAAGACCACATGAAAGAGTTAATGGAAGAAGCAGGTAAATTAACTGACCTCTAGT